TATATATAGCTAAATAAATTTTGCACACACATAATCGCAAAAGGAATTTCATTATAATTATATTCATAACATCTCAGAATAGTAAAGAGAACATGCAGAGACATCCATAATGAATAAAATCATAATAAACAGAACAAGCAATCTGAAAAATTAATCCATTACAAGAGTATCTAAGGAAACAATATAAATACATGTTAATCTCTAAGATAATAAACATACAAAAATTACAAAAAAAAAAGAGAAAAAAACCACTCATATGGTGGATTTGTCTCCTCCTCCTCTTCCAATATAGACTGCTTGCCACACTGATGTTATTCACATCACAGTTGCTCCAGCCCTCCACCACCTTGGCCTCCACTCTCTCCCCCAACTTTGGCCTCCACCCTCTCCTCGATCCATGATTTTATTCTTGACTCCTTCTGAAGTAGCTCAGCAAAGAAGTGGGCCTCCATATCCTTGGTGAATGCAGTCAAAGCTAGCTAACTTCATCATCAAGCAATGTTAGCCTCTCATCAGTGATGTCGTGTCGTGCCTCATAACCAAATTCCTATGAGATTGTAGATCGTCCTCTTCTTCCTCTCCCAGGGACTTCCTTGCATATGTTAAAGTATGATTGGTTAGGTTGGCCACTAGAGCTACCGACACCTGTGGACTTTTGACTTCATGCATCCTTCAACTGCACATACTCATCTTATAAAATATTGTAAAGGATAACTACAATCAAAATAAAAATATAAATCAATTTCACAAACATAAAAAATATTCAACTTACTAAGACAAGTTGAGATCTATGTATGACCCGCAATTGTTCTGTCTAATGCTGATGTATGCATACATCCAAATCAAAAGTGGTGGGCTCTCATCCATGTGTATGCCTTTGTTAACATATAAAAATTTTAGTAAGTAATAATTATATGATTTAATTTAATGTAGTAACTAAATCTTACCATCCTCCTATACTATGTATGGGGGACTGAGCCTCTAGTGTGTAAGGAGGTACTTACACCCCCCATCGTCTGAGGCCTGATTCTGGTGCACCCACTTTCTCTTCCTAACATTGTCAAGAGAAACTCGGAAGTTGCACAACTAGGCTTAGACATTCTTTCCAACCTAGAGGGGCTTATCCCCCTTCTTATTGATATTATTAAACATATCTAGCAAGCAGGTAGCTCCTTTAATATAAAAGTTATGTTGGATTAACTAATGATTTTGACGTAGCCACTAGAGGTTTTTTTACACCATAATATTAAACAATTTTTATTATTATAAAAATTGAATTTAAGGTTACTATAGTTCACAATATTAAATTTTACTATAGTTCAAAATTTAATATTAAACCTCGATGAAAATATTCTTCCAGGATAAATATGGAGCATTATACCTACTTCTGATGATGTATCTGATCCTGTTGATAAGTTACCTAAAATAATGAAATATGTAAGAAAATATTAGTAGCTATGTAATGAAATAGAAAAATAATTTCACTTGGTATAATTTAAATTACTTATGTATCTTTTTTTGGCTCTATGTATATTCGTCGTGAGATGCCCAACACACCAGGTTCAATGAGAATGGAAGGGCCTACCTGGAAGGAGGGAGACAGTGGTACAATGAAGAGAGCTATAAGATGTGGAAGGCATGTGCCACCAGAAGTGAAGTAACTAGCCAAAAGGGCATGGGTGTGTTGGTCACAATGGTAATCATCATAGTCGTGCTCTTTTAGACATTTTGTTGAGGATTGAGCCTAAAGTGCAAAAATTATGACCTTGTCCCAAAAATAAGGCATCCTACTTATGCCCTTGCTTATGATCATTTGTGAATATGTAAACTGAATCTACTTTTCATCCAAAATTAGAGATCGAAACACGGACAATCATTAGATTATATACTTTATAATTCTAAACAATACATAAGGGATTTAATCTTTGAAATTTTATTTGGCTATGAGCCCCACTTCATACACAACATGACAATAAGGAAATGTATGAGCAACTTCAAACATGTTTTGACATTAGAAGAATAAAATAAAATAATGAAATAGATTTTTTTTCATTGTGTCAAGAAGACATGATAATCATACAGGGTAGTGACACAATAAGAAAATTTATAAAAATCAATGAAAAAACTAGAGGATAATGTCCGCTGGTTAATTTACTCATAAAATACATGGTTGAACTGGCATTTTTAAGTTTGTGGCTAAAAAATAGATAGGCTATTGGCCAATATATATTTCGATTGAAGTGTCAGCCAAATTTTAAGCCAGTTTTGGAATTATTTTCTTTTCGACTGACTTGTCACTAGAAATTTATTCAAAAAATATTGTTGTCATTTTTATATTTATTTTGAGGTTTTAAACCAAAAAAACTATATTCTCTTTCACTTTTCATACCCAAAACCTTTCTCCCTCTCTAAGTTTTGCTCAAAGTCATCCCCAACATGAGTGAAACTGAGACAAACAGTCACTGATAGAGATATCGGGAAGGTAATGAGGGGATTATGGTGTACAAAGTCCTCCAAAACTCCTATTTCTCCTTTATCCTGTCCACTCCTAAATCAATTAAGAAAGATAACCCTCTTCTTCCTCACCCTTCATTCTCTTTGGTTTTGCAAATTTCACCTTATTCCCATAAATATGACTTCCAACGAGAGAGAGAGAGAGAGAGAGAGAATTTTTTTAAAAATAAAATGAATTTTTTTTTGAAAAAGTACTATAAATTTATTGGGGCATTTATGCCACTTGGTTGAGCAAAACTAGGAATAATATTAGCACCCTCCATTCATCCCATCTAACACCTGACGACATTATTTTATGCATTTTGTTTGGTGTATTTTGAGGCATAATATAGGGCATGATTTGACCCTTCTATTAATTTAAAACATAAAATTTCTTATATCCTTTATTATCTTCTTTTTAATTTCTCTTGTTTTGTTCTTTCTTTTGAGCTCTTTATCATCTTTTTGGCATTAGACCCAACAAAACCCATACCTTGATCATTCCTCTGCCTTCTCCCCCTCTATTTTCTCATGCTCCCTCTCTTTCTTAGCATGTCTTGGATCCTACATAGAGGCATTTGAAATAACCTCACACTATGAATTTCATGGATTACTAATGCATCAATCTGACAATAAAAAAGATTTTTTTTCACCTGCAAAATTTATATTTGGCAAAATTATTGTGGATGATGGTCAACCGAAAAATAGTGATCGGAAGTGCAATTTCCATGGCATGTGACTGACTTTCGACCAAAAGTTTTCTGGCTAAATATGTTGTGGAATACTTAGCTGAAAATTTTTTGTTTCATCGGTAATCTTACCATTAAAAGCAATGGCATAGTACCTACCAATAATTTTATTGTCAAAAAGCAAACTGAATTTCTACCTGAAATAGCTGTCATTTATGGTCTCAACTATTGATTTTGTCAATTGACTATTATTGGTTGAAATAGGTACCAAAATCAATGAAAAAACTAGAGGATAATGTCCGCTGGTTAATTTACTCATAAAATACATGGTTGAACTGGCATTTTTAAGTTTGTGGCTAAAAAATAGATAGGCTATTGGCCAATATATATTTCGATTGAAGTGTCAGCCAAATTTTAAGCCAGTTTTGGAATTATTTTCTTTTCGACTGACTTGTCACTAGAAATTTATTCAAAAAATATTGTTGTCATTTTTATATTTATTTTGAGGTTTTAAACCAAAAAAACTATATTCTCTTTCACTTTTCATACCCAAAACCTTTCTCCCTCTCTAAGTTTTTCTCAAAGCCATCCCCAACATGAGTGAAACTGAGACAAACAGTCACTGATAGAGATATCGGGAAGGTAATGAGGGGATTATGGTGTACAAAGTCCTCCAAAACTCCTATTTCTCCTTTATCCTGTCCACTCCTAAATCAATTAAGAAAGATAACCCTCTTCTTCCTCACCCTTCATTCTCTTTGGTTTTGCAAATTTCACCTTATTCCCATAAATATGACTTCCAACGGGTTTTACTAAATCTTACATTCAAGGAAAAATGGGATGCAAGAACATGCATGATTTAAGGATGTCATTTTTGTTGTTTGGCTAAATTTAGGTTAAATCCTACAAAAATCATGCTCATATCCTTCTATTTACACCTCTTTTAGTTCTAACCTGAAGTATAACCTTCTCAATGTCTGTCACATTTCAAATCCCCCTTTCGAGGTCACCCTCACTTTATAGAAAGTAAAGGAGGAAAGGTAAGACTAAAAAATGGATAAAAATTAAAATTAAAAAAAAAAGTAGCTACAAAGTTATTTTTATAGAAAAATCCTTGTAACATAAATTGAAGAAGAGTAATTCAAAGTGAATCAGCCCATACTCAACTCGAGAAAATATATAATAATGATCCTATAAAAGAACCTTATGATCAAACCAGAATACAAAATTAAATTTATTTTATTCTAGATTTGAGAGACCTTCCACCATGGCATATCCTTATGGTTAATTACATCTTGAAGAAACAAAGGAAAACTCACAATAAAAAATGTTATATTTTTTCTAAATTATTCTTTTGAAATATAAGGAGCTAAGGATATTTTTGACAGTCCAAGTTTGCAAAGTCTTCTAGTCTTAAAGGAAAAACTAGGTTATTAGAAAGAGGTGAATCACCGTAACATGACGGGTAGATGCCAATGAAATGAGAAAGATATGACTGATATCAGTAAAGACTCGATAAGGAAACGATTGTGCCCAAAGGGGTAGATCAATGTGTTGGTCAGGGAAAAACCTAAACGGGTAGAGATGGCTTGGTCATAACAAGAAAAGGATCACTTCATTAACAACCCATGGTTGCATCTTCTGAAGTGATCCATTAGATAAAAAACTAAGGAGATTATATTATGACTCTAATTGGATCAAAAAAAGAGAATAGAAATTATACTTGCAATACTATAGACATGGAGCCTATAAGAAGGAAGAGGGAATAGATCATTTATCTACAAAGCTAAGCCATTTAACAAAGGACTTGTAATCTTGTATATATCGAGAAAGCCTCTAACGTTATATATCTCACCAAACAACTACCTAATCGTGTAAAACAAATGTGCAACCAATCATATTGAAAAGCAAGAGTACAATCCTCAGGTACGCAGTATCCATGTAGTGAGCTAAGGCACCTAAGCATGGAGAACCTATTAGCATGCTTGAGAGTAATATTCATGCATTTTATGATCATTTCAAAACTGGTCTGAAGGACATGCCAGAAAGTAAGTGCAGGAAATACTTTTTAAATCCTGAATATTTTAATCCTAAATTTTATGGGATAAATCTTTTAAAATTAAATTTATAGCAAATATTTTACCCTAATGAGCCTAGTCATGACCGTATGCAGAAAAGCCATAAACATAAGAAAGAGTTAATCACACACAAAATGTTGATAAGCAAACACTCAATATAAAAGGACAAGATGCCAACAATCTCATTGGGTTGGCTACAATCACAAGAAAGAAAAATGTTGGTTGGGCTCCCTATATATATACCCGTTCCAAGAATTATACAACAAAAGTACAATGTGGAATTAAGGTACAAGGCATGAGCAAACATATCTAGTTCTCTCTACATGGT